CAGACGTGGTAATGCTGAGGGTCAGAGCATCCCTGGTGAGCCGGCTGGTGAGCCAGAGCATGGACGTGTGTTCACATGGCTGCAGGCTTCTGGGTCTTGAAGCCCATAACTGGAAATGGCTCTGCAGCCTGCCATTCAAACACGTCCCCATTTGAACTAGAGATGTCATTTTCTAAAGCACCTGGATTCTCATGAGAAATTTATTCACTGAAAACGGTGGTTTAACCAACCAAAAAATATGACCATTTTGCATTATTAAAGATGAAAAAACCCATTAGCAATAAACCCCTCGCAGAGAGCAAAAGCCCGCTTTTCACATACTAGAGGCTTGGTGTTCGTGGATTTGGGTGGGCCAAACCCAGTTCTGGACCTGGCTTTCCCTGTTGAGGGTGCTGCTGTCTCATGGCATAAGAGGCGGTGGCAGCAGCCTCCAGCCCAGGCCAGCGGTGCGCTGCAAGGTTAGCTTTCTGCTGCTAAGGGAGAAAATTAGCAAAGTTACTTATAATTTTCTGCCTTTGGTTAGTACTTCTCTGACATGCCTCAAATGCAGATTTCAATATTAGTGCAGGTAAAGCGACTGACAGTCTGCTGTGAGCTGCTGTCACTAAGATTATGTTTCTCTACAGATTCCAACCACAAAATCTTGATCCCCTACTGCAAATACCCTTTCCCTTTGCTACATATAGCTGACCTTAATTATTTTAGATCCTCCTTTTTGTCTTCATTTTTTTGAGGTGATGGAACTGTGGTCATAAAACTAACAGGAAAAAAACCCTCACACAACAAATAAGCAAATTGGAATTTCTTTTTTTTTTTTTACACAGAAGCCATACAACTAGCACAATTCCTGATTTCTAGTGTCAACTCTCCTACATGGACATGTGCAAGTCACTCCAGTGTCTTGGTTTCTCCTCCCTGAGGTAGTAGTAAAGAAACCCTTCACATACGTGCCTTGCAGAATTGCAGTATTGTAAACCATGATTTGATCCTGTAAAAGCCTGGCAAGTTTTATGCCAGTGCTTATTACTGAATGTCCGTGGCCTGGATTTTCCCCTCAGGATCTTCAAGATCCTGTGCTTCTGGCTCACTTGGCCTGAGCCCAGCCAGGGGTAGGAGGAATTGGCTTAGTAACATGTTCCCACAGCCTCTTGCTGTCCCTCCTCCCCTGTGCCAGGCTCCCCCCACCAAGTCCTGGGTTTGCAAACCCAGGGAGCAGAGGACTGGAGAGATGGAGCAGTGGTTTCCCTTCCCATCAAACCCTAAAGCCTCTAATAAGGTCGTGCAGTATGAGGCAGTGCTACATAGGCTGGGCGGCTTCTTCTTTGCCCCTCATGACATGGATTTTCCTTCCTTAGGATGGTTTGGAGGGCTGAGTTACCTTAACGCCAAAGGGCAGAGGCAGGGGAGTAAGAAGTCATGGGGAATCTTTGCTGTTGGGGGTTTCAGCTTCCCGGGGGTGGGTAGTGCAGCCTCCCTGGCATTCCCACCCGAGGGAAGAATTAGGAAGGAACTTTCTGAGTGACCCATAAGGGGGACTTCTGCAACCTTGTGCTTTCAGAGACTGTGCAGTACTTTTATGTTTTTTCAAGCACAGCATTATTAATTATCGCCAAAGGTATCTTATGCCTCTGCCTAACCTAATTCTCAGAAATGCAGAAGCCTCGCTCGCCATCTGACCTCCACCTCATGGCAGGGCGGGAGAGGAGAAGGGCATTGTGCTCTTCAGGCACCGGCTCCGGCATGCCCAGGCACAGAGCAGATCGAGCTGATGCTGTTCTCTTTCACTCCGGTGAATCAATAGAGGGGAGAGAAAGTGTGTGACTTTGCTAACAAAAAAAAAAAAATAATAATCATAAACAATCCGGTGCCTGCAGCAAGAGCAGCTCAGAGCCCATCTGAAATCTCGACTGAACGTGATCTGTGTTCTCAGTGAATAAATTAAAGTAGACTCTGCTAGAGCCGCCAGGGCAGTCGGCAGTCCTTGCGTTTCTTGCATGATTCAGGCTTGGACCAATCCTGGTTCTCAGAGAGAAAATGAAAGCCTGCCCTGATCAGAGACGAGGTCACTGATGGGACAAGGTGAGTTCGCTGTTTTATGCTTTGTAATTGATGAGAGAACTTTTTTTTTTTTTTTTAAACACCAGTTACCATGGAGTAGTCCATTAAAAGCATCCTAATTTAAAATGTTTGCTCTTGCATCCTTCAAAAGAAAAACCAAACCGAGAATAGACATGTCCTTGGATTATTACATGATGCACAAACACATCTGACTGGATTTGGGGAATTCAGACTGAGATGCAAACAGCCAGCAGTTGGCTGTGATCTTTTGTGGTGTTTTACTTTAAAAAGGTGTGGTCTTCTGATATTGCCTGCTTTGAAACTCCACAGGGGGCATTTTTTCCCCCCTTGTCAGACAGCTACACCCTTCTGTGATGCAGTTTAGCTCGTAACCCATCTGCTTGTGGGCAGTGATGTAAACATACCAGCTGCCTCTGAAGAACCACTCTGAATCCTGCAGGAGGCAGGTCTCTTCCCCGAGCATCGCTCTCCTCTGCAGCATAAGTCACTGTCTCGCCAACCACGCTGTGCTGTCCCTAAACCCTCACATCTACCCATCTGAGAGTCAGATCGAGTAATCCTCTTACAGGTCAATGATTTTTGCAGTGTAGCTTCGTTCAAGGGATTTAAGCTCGATTCATAATGTGCTACCATTGCGTTGAAATGGAAAGGCTCGCTTAGAAGGGGCTTGGCTGGCACAAAAGCTTCACGTTGTGTGTCCCACCAGCACAGAGAGACGGTGGGAAGGAGGAAACCTAGCAGCAGTGCCAGCCCTGCACTGAAAATGAAGGCTCTCCTGTTACTGGTCCTACCTTGGCTAAGTCCTGCAAACTACATAGACAATGTGGGCAACCTGCACTTCTTGTACTCCGAGCTGTGAGTACGCACAGTCGCGCCGGCTTCGTGCTCTCTGTCTGTCTGTCTCACCCGAGCGGCGGGAAGGGGTTCACCACCAGCATTTTGGGGGGGTCTGTCTGTCTGCCTGTGTGTCTGTGTGTGTGCGTACGTGCAAAGAAAATCCCGCAACGTCTTTCCAACAGCTTCATACCGTGCTGCGAACTAGCTGCTTCCCATCCGGAGGGCTAATAATAGCAGTACGTCCCTATTGCTTTCTGCTTTGGAGGCAGCTGAGACATACTGAGTGAAGCTGTGTTTTTCCTTATCAACTTGCTTTTCTGTGCCGACATTTTGGGTGGTTGTTGGGTTTGGTTTTTGGTTTTTTGTTTTGTTTTTTTTTTTTCCGTTTCTGAATCTGTGTCTTTTCTTAACTTTCCATAAATAGCTTTGCAGGGGAGCTGGGCATAGAGGAGGGCATCAGGATAGACACCCCCGGTAGAGCGCTCTCTGTGTGTACACGCATAATGTTCTGTGTATAAAGCTGCATGCCTGTAGCAAAACGCTGAGAAGCCTTTCACCAGAAATAATTCACTTGAGACAGGAAAGAAATTTCCCATATTTGTGCTTTTGCCCACAGCGGAATGTTATTTTCTCTATAATGCGAATTTAAATGTAGCAATCCATGCATATGTCTTCATGTCTTAAAAACACCCCACCTCAAACAACCCCAAAGCTGATCTTTGCAACCCATAAAACAAATATTCTGTGGTATCGTCTATAAATGATACTAGTTCAATTTGTTCTTGAATGTTATCGTACTAGTTAATAAGGCTTTTATGAATAGAAACAGATATTTGTTCCAGTGTGTTTTAACTAATTATGTTTTGTTTGTGTTTTAACAAATTATAAGCTCCAAGATCTTCCTTGAGATAATGAATGAAATGGCTAAATCTGCTCAAAAATGAAAAATGACTGTATTGTGCCTACAGTGGGAATGTTTTAGTAACAGTTGTGATTAGTACCAATGAGACTAATTTCCAAATGATTTTGTCTCTACTGTCA